CCGAACCACGCAGCAGATTCGTTCTGAATGAATCTCTTCCCAAATCGTCCCTCCCTAACATTTTCGTCTCGTTTTTATTCGTTGACGAAAATGTCAATAGATTTACGTCATAGTTTTTGTCGTTCAAAAAGAGTTTTAGTTCGTTATCGTCTCATTGTCGTCTGTGAAAAAAATGTCGTTGACGAAATTAACACTGTTTACAACGAAGCGTTTTATTTGCAACTTTCAATTTTTTTTACTATATATATATAATATATTACTTTTAATATTACTTTTTCACGTAGTGCCAGGCCGGTTTGGACAGCTTTTTTCCCTTAATAAATAAAACCATTATTTCAAAACTGCATTTTGTATTTACTCGGGTTATCTTTGTGTAATATTAAAATTTGTTTGATGATCTGAATCTTTTAAGTGTGACAAATATGCAAAAAAAAAAAAAAAACAGAAAGGGGGCAAAAACTTTTTCACACCACTTTCTTATTATTATTATATATATACATACATATATATACACACACACACACTATCACACATTTTTATTACATATTTTAAAATTAGGCAAATAAGTAAATTTAATTGAAAAATAATAATAACCTGATATGAATCAGTATTATTTTATTATCATTGATATATACTATTATAGTTTTTATTATTATTTTAAATTAGATTTAATGTTTATATTTTCTGTTTTCACTTTAATTGTAGTTCATCATTTATAGTATCATTTAATTAGTTTTTAATATCTGTATAATTTTAAAAACAAGAAATGTTGTCTTAATAAAATAAACACAAGTTTATGAGATGACTGAAAGTTTATGCATGTAATGAAATATTTTTAATACATTTCTGTGACTCGTTTTTAGTGTCCATTTCAATGAACCGTTAAAATCAATTCGGTGATTTGTTCCTGTCAGATGTGTTCATGAATCTCCCACATGCCATTTTACATGAATCTGAATATTTAAACATATGTAAACAACACTGACTGAATTATTTGACTTTGAGAAAAGCTGAAGGACTGGAGAAGATTTCAAAGAGAGAAATCGCTGAAAACAGATTAAAAAAGATGTTGCTGTTTCTGCTCGCAGATGATATTGATGAAGAGCTGCTAATAAACACACACACACATTGAGTTCATTGAGAGGGTTTGGATTCACGGCTCTTTCCTTTAGAAACACGTCAGTATGAAAGGAGCCACGGCTATAAAAGCTCTGCAAGAGTCTTCATTCATCCGCATCGCTCCGTTCTCTGCAGATATCGACAGCATGTAAAGATTTTCCTATAAAAGCCACCATCATTTACTCACCTTTGTGTCGCTTCGAACCCACATGAAGCTTATTCATCTGAGGAACACAAAAGGAGCAAATCTTGAGATGTTATGCAGCTCGTGCCTTATGACTCTGTTCACACGGATCATGTCTTTCAAACTGCAAAACAGATAAAAATACCATAAAAATGTCTTTAAACTTTATAAAGAACTTTAAAAAGTTGCATATTTTTTGAAGATAAGAGTCTTTTTCTACCATTTTTTATCCACCAGGTGAAAGTCTGAGCATTTTGAGCACTTGTAATGATACTTGAGTGAACAAACACCACGCATAAGTTCTATTCGTAGATTCTTCTCATAACAACAAAAAATAAAACAAAAAAATAAAGCATAATTGGCAGACCCTGAACACTGGTCATACAACAGATCAATTGCATTTGCATGCAAAATTACTTCATTAGCATAAATTACTCTAGCAGTAAGTATCGTCCTGTATTGTCTGACAGTAATTGGGACAATTAGACGATTACAATGACGCTGATAGCAGCTCTCGCTTCAGCTGTGATTGTTTTGACATCAGACAGCGCCACCGCATTCTGCCACTCAAATGATTTCATTACATTTTAATTTCCCATCAACCTCAGTGTCACCAGCTGCTTTTCAGCAAAGGAGAAACAAAGTGGTTTGTACACAAGAGTGATGGAAATACACCTGAATATGAGGAAAAGACAAAGAAATGAGAAAAAGTGCAGAGCGACAAACACACAAACTTGAAGCACCAAACACACTCTTGACATTGTGAGAAAAAGCTTGACCGCATGAGAATGAGATTGTTTTGCGACTTAAATTGTGATAAATGGCACCCAAGGTTGTGCATTACAGTGAGTTTACTTCACTTTACAAAAAGGTTTTGTTAAAGAAACTTAACTGAAGTAAAATCTCTGTAACACTCAAGTTTACTGAAAAAAAAAAACATTTTTTTCACCAACAATTGGTGTAGAAACTCAGAAATTACAAGTAAATTTCACAATTATTTACAAAGAAATGGCAAGTAACACACTGAATTAAACCTGAAATTTTGAAAAAAGACACACACCAAAAATAGCGTCAACAGCAATATAAAAATATTAAATAAAAGTCCAACAATAATAATCACAATTGCCATATTTGAAAAACAGATCCTACTGATAAATTCAATTAGAAAATGTAACTTTCCTTGATCCATTTTCTTATGTTATAGCGCCCCCTAACACTGTAAATCAATGAGATTTGGCAGGTTTACTCAGACTGTCCTGATGTACATTTGCACCATTTTCTGTGAAGTTTGGACTCTGCATAAACAATATACAGGTCAATTAGTCATTATGGGCCACATTTAAAAAAAATGGTACTGACCCCAATCTTAATTTGTGATTTCTAAAAATCTCAAGTGATGAAGGCTTTTGAAAGTCTGAGCGTAATCAGTGTTGATCACTACTGTAAGGTTAACGCTGCCTGCTTTAAATGTTTCAAAATGATTATCAGTTGAAAACATTTGTTAGAAATTTTGCAAAGTAATCAAATATGATAAGTTACAACACTTTAATAAAGTAATTGAAATAGTTACACTACTTATTACATTTTAAACAGGGTAACTTGTAATCTGTAACCTTACCAACACTGATAGGATCTATCCCTTTAATTCAGTCAGACTCATTAGATCCGGGGGTTTTTCATTCTTGGCATTCATCCAGATAACTGGAATATTAAAAATGATAATCAAGTATTGATAGACATGTGCATTTTACATGCCAAAAGGCTCATTGCCATTTATTGGAAAAAGACAAAGGCCTACCATAACTCGTCGGTTAAGAGAAATATCTTCATGCATTGCAATGAAAAAGATAACCTACTGTATATTCTTAAGGGTAAAGAAGCTAAATTAAGAAAATCTGGAGTCGGTTTTGATTATTTATTGAATGTAAGGATATTAACAATATAATAGAGGAGGATCAAAATTCTTGATTAGGTATTAAAATATATTTTAATGTGCATTATATTAACCCCTTACAGCTGTGGTTGTTACTGTTTTGCAATGGATTATTAAATCTAACTTCCAAAGTACATACCGTATTAACCTAATGTTGGTTTGTACTAAGACACTTTTCATGTAATATGAGCCCCTAGTGTTTGTTTGTTTCGTTTTCTTTTTTGTACATTGTAAGTGTTGTTACAGACACGGTGTGTACATGTGTCAGTCTGGTAAGTGTTTCAAGAAAATGTACAGCCTCACCTGTAGAAAGGCAGATGGCAGTCAGCGAATGCTGTGTGTTTGTCTCAGTGTCTCTTCAGGACATCACCATGAGGAAGGCCTTCCGCAGCTCCACCATCCAGGACCAGCAGCTGTTTGAGCGTCAGTCTCTTCCCGTCCCCATGCAGGAGACATACGAGCTGTGCGAACAACCTCCGCCGCTGAACATCCTCACACCCTACAGGTCAGAACCACATTCACACATCAGACCCGACAGATCATCACACCGGCGACGTTTTCATCTGACCTCAGTATTACTAAAATGTAACCCTGGAGCACAAAACCAGTCATATGGGTCAGTTTTTCGAAATTGAGATTTATGCATCATCTGAAAGCTGAATAAATAATATTTCCATTGATGGTTTGTTAGGATAGGACAATATTTGGCTGAGATACAACTATTTGAAAATCTGAGGGTGCAAAAAAATCAAAATATTGAGAAAATCACCTTTAAAGTTGTCCAAATGAAGTTCTTAGCAATGCATATTAATAATCAAAAATTAAGTTTTGATATATTTACGGTAGGAAATTTACAAAATATCTTCACAGAACATGATCTTTACTTAATATCCTAATGATTTTTGGCGTAAAAGAAAAATCAATAATTTTGACCCATACAATGTATTTTTGGCTATTGCTACAAATATACCCCAGCGACTTAAGACTGATTTTGTGCTCCAGGGTCACAAATAACATGAACTGCAATCAGACAGCGATGAACTTGAGTGTTTCACTCACAGTTCTGAAAAAAATGACAACCTGAAAATCTCATTTAATATGGAAGCATATCGGTATCAAAATTCATTTTGAAATGTAATTTGCAAAATGGCATTGCATTTCTTTATTTAAATTTACATATTCCCATACATATGTGCAACATTTAGTGCAAAATGAAAATTCAATTATATAATTTAGATTTGCCATTTCCTACTTTTAAATATGTAAATTAAAAACATTTTAACATGACCTATTGTCCAATTCACACTGCATTTTGCTACAATTATCACGCGGTATCACGATGACAATGCAATGCCAAGTGTCCTACCTGTAAGTCTAAATGCATTTAGGAAAAATGGCATTTAAATTATAATTTTGCTACAGTTTTTGCTTGGACATTTTAAAAATCTAATCAATTTGTGTAATACAATTTCTTTTTAATTTTGCAACTTATAAAGCATTAAAATATGTTTTTAATTTACATATTAAAACTAGTGTAGAAAATGGCAAATGTAAATTATATAATTTCATTTTCATTCTCATTTTGTGCTAAATGTTGCACATACTGTATGTATGGGAAAATGTCAATTTAAATAAAGAAATGCATTGTCATTTTGCATATTACATTTCAAAATGAATTTTGCTACCCATATGCTTCCATACATTTAACTCTTCATGTAACTGTTTAAATAACAATTGCATTTTATTCAAGTCAAAAATATTATTTAACATCAATGAATCAACCTGAATGCATGAATTTAGACCAACATACCAAGATAATAATTTGTCAAGATACCAAAGTATGCAATGAAAAAAGTCAGCAAAAAAACTGCATAAAATATTACATGATATTTTCTGAAAAATGTATCAAAATTAAGTGAGTTTTTTAAACTTAGAAATAGACAAAAAAATCTATCAGTGGGGTCAGAAAAATAGTCTTGTTTTCCTTTTCAATTAAGTTGTTCTTTTTTACTCCACTGATGGATTTTTTTAAGCAAAACTCATTTAATTTTGATATAATTTTCAGAAAACAAGATGTAATATCATTTTGTCATTTTGTATCTCCAGTAAATTAAATGGATATCGAATATCTCTCAGATGTTCCTTGCAGGTGTTTCTTATACACTGAAATAAATTGCAACTTAAACATCTAAATTAACTAGTTTTATTCAAGTCAAAAATATTATTTAACATCACTGAATCAGCCTAAATGCTAATACAAATTTAGTTTTCACTCAATTTTTGTCCTGTTTTGCAGTGTTAAATTTTTAAATCAAAATACATTAACTTGAAATGCAAAATAACATATATCTTGTTTCTGAATAATTTATGAAAAAAATTAAGTGAGTTTTTATGACATACATTTTACAGTCAATTTATCATCATGAAAAATATAATATAAAATAAATGTATATTATTATTTAAAATACAAATAATAATATACAATATATAAAATATTATGTCATTATTTATTATTTATTTATTTCAATAAAATTTTGTATAAAATGGCATGCATTTTGACAGTCCATTTATCATCATGAAATATACATGTATATTATTATATAAAATATTAATAATATTAAAGCACATTGTCATTATTTTTATTTCAATTAAATTTAGTATAAAAAATCGCATGCATTTTGACAGTCCAATCAACTAAGTCAAAGAGGAGATATTTAAAATGATCTGATATTACAAGCCAAGTGCATTACATTATGGGATTCAACACTCCATTAATGTTCTCTGTGCCGCACATTTCTGCAAATGTAGCATTCATACATGCAGATAACTCTGTGTACACTACACATACTGCATACTACTCTCACTGACGAACGGTGTGTAGTACGGCATCACTGAACACACCTGATCTGCGTCTGTCTCTAGGGATGATGGGAAGGAAGGGCTGAAGTTCTACACCAACCCGTCGTACTTCTTCGATCTGTGGAGAGAGAAGATGCTGCAGGACACAGAAGACAAGAGGAAAGAGAGGCGGAAACAGAAGGTGAGAGGGGCGTGGCTACACAACAGATGGGTGTGGCTTATATGCAAATGAGGCCGGAATGGGTGTGGCATCCGAGGGGATCAAGCACTAAAATCTCATACTTATAACATACATAATAACATACTTTATGGTTACGTTCAGTCATTTTTCACTCCGTTTTGGCTGCTCTGTCGTTTGCTGTCATTGTGTGTGAGTTTGAATGAGCTGTTTCTCTTGACATGAGGTGTTTTCTGAGTGCGTTTAGATTACAGACCAACACACACACACACACACAGCGGGCTAATCACAGGCTAATTAGAGGCAGATTGTATTTTTACGCATGATGGCAGATTCTCTCATCTCTTCTCTGACGTTACTGCGGTAAAACTGCTTGTACATTGTGATATTACAGGTCAATATCTACTTGCATTTAATAAAACCATTTTAGAATATACATAACATCTACATTTCCTTTGCGTTGCTACTTTAACAATTTAAAATATGCAAATTAGGCACAATCTTATTAAATATTCACATTACAACTGATATAAATCAGTGAAAATGTCACAACTTTTATTTCTGTGTTAATATGATCAGCAGCTCAGTGGTTGGCAATTATAAGACGCTTTTATTAAAAGGTTATTTAACAAAATAAAACTCTTTGACTTTGTAAATGCATGATTTTATGTTAAAAGGACTTTCATAAATGCATCTGCTAATTACTAGCAATATCACAACAACATGGACATTTAAATCATCAAAATCTTGATGTGAAATGGCAGTCTATGATTATGGATGGGTTGGAATATTAGTTAATTAATAGTCTTATATATTCATTAATATTTTAAAATATTATGAATTAATACAATTAATCTAAAAAAAAGTATAACACATTCGGAAGATTATGAGAAAAAAAATCTAGGAACATTTTGTAAAATATTATGTAATTATTTTAAAATTTGTTTAATTTTATTACAAATATTTAAAATCATTATATAATTATTATATTAAATTATGTAATTATAATAAAATATTATAAATAAAGAAAATAAATGTCAACATTTTTCTGCCTTTTGGCTATATACAGTATATACATATATATATATATATACATGATATGTAATAATAATTTATAATTTACATGATGTGTATATATATATTGTATTTGTTGTATTTGTTCTGAAATGACATAAAAGTGTGATCTGCAATTAGAAAATCATTTAAAAAAAAACACCAAAAAATGTTTCATGCAAAAAGTAAAATAAAGGGGAAAAAATACAACTATGTTGCATGTTTAAGTCAATGAGTGGTATCCAATTATCATCATGAAAAAATATTGTAATTTATTTATAAAAAATAAAAAAAAGGAAATTATGAAAAATGAAAAGAAAAAATTATAAAATACATAAAACATGATGTAATTGTTATTTATTTCAAAACTATTTTATTTGAAATATATTACTGGAGAAGATAATTATATATATGAAATCGTCATGAATATAAACTCTATGTAAAGTATGTAGAATATAAACTGTTTTCTAGAGGCTTTATGAAGCAGAAAGAGTGTTTGCAGCGATTGTGTTCACATACAGACACACAGAATGTGATTAGCTGTGATGTGGAGCACTGAGCTGCTTCCCGTCATTCATTCATATTAAGTGTGTAAATGCAGTGGAAGTGGGATCGGCTGCATTCGATTAGACGCGACTTGATTACATTAGGAGTGATTGATGTGTGGAAAACTGCTCCAGCGGCTCTCAGTCTCTCTCAGACACAACTAACCAAAACTAGTGACGCTACTAACCCAACATAACTATACATTACAGTAGTGTGACTGTAGATCAGCTGGTTTCAAAACAGAACAGCTGTTTCACTAACAAGCTCATTTGTGTAATGGAAATTACTCGCTGTATTGAGACAATCATTAAACTCAGTCTGATGAGCAGCAAACAGTGACAAAAAAATATCTCTCTCTTTTAAAAAACACTGGCTTCATGCATCGCAGTGAATTGGTTCATTCAGATGATTTGTTTAAAAATCAATAAAATAAAATAAGTACTACAATTACTAAAACTGAAATCAAAATAAATTAAAGCGGAAATAAACAGAAAAAAATTATAAAAATAACAAAAGCACATAAGATTACTAAAACTTAAAATAAAATAAAAAATAAGTACTACAATTACTAAAACTGAATTAAAAATAAATGAAAGCAGAAATAAACAGAAAAAAATAATAAAAATAACAAAATTACTAAAACGTAAACTAAAATTTAAATGAAAACTAAAAAGTATAAAAAATAAAAGCAAATTGAAAATATGAATAAATACTATAACAGTATATAAATATACTAAAACAGCACTGACTGATACCCTTAATGTGTTATATACACACTCACACACTATTATAAAATACCAAAAGAATATGTTATTATTTTATTTCAATTGAATTTTTTATAAAAATGAATTAAATTACTGGACACTGGAAAAATCTATACAGTTAAACAGGTTAAAATGTGTATGTAAATTTATTAAATATAAATGTTTTAATCTGATTATATTATATTTTAGTACTTAAATGTATAATTACACTGTAACAAGGACACCTTAAAATAAAGTGTAACCCAAAAAATTCATTCAATTAAAAAAAAAATCATTTTCTTTCTTTTTTTATATTCTTGTAATTCTGAGTTTGTTTAAATCTTGCAATTCTACGTTTATATCTTGCAATTCTACAGTTTTTTCTTGTAATTCTGAATTTGCATTTATATCTTGTAATTCTGAGTTTGTTTATATCTCGCAATTCTATGTTTTTCTTGTAATTTTGAGATTTAGTTTAAATCTCGCAATTCTGAGTTTGTTTATATCTTGCAATTCTATGTTTTTCTTGTAATTTTGAGATTGAGTTTAAATCTCGCAATTATGAGTTTATTTATATCTCGCAATTCTGTTTTTTTCTTCTTGTAATTTTGAGATTGAGTTTATATCTCGCAATTCAAATTTTTTCTTGTAACTCTGAGTTTGAGCAAAGACTATAGAAATACAAAGACGGTTCACTCCTATACTTATGGCGGAATAGTCCCACCTCCTAAATTGAAAGAGCTGATCAGTAAAGTCATTGCATCACTGCAGTGGCTGTTAGAAGCTCCGGTTCCAATAGAAACCTGAGGCTAGACCAGCCAATTCGCATGCGCAGTCTTAAGCGCATTATTATACGCATTGGCTGGTCTAGCCTGAAAAAATAAGCTTATTAAATGCTATTTGAGCATAAGAAACAACATTCATGTGGCAGCTCATTTCAGATGTTGCTGATTTGAAATATGTTATTTAATTGTGAGTTCAGCAAGCAGTTTATGAGATTTCAGGATTCCCCCATTCATTTAGATAGGACTTGGTCTTGTTTGAGCTGCCCGGAGGCGTTGTTAATATGGCCGCTGAGTGAACAGACTTTCCTTGAAAGGGACTTTGGTTTGAGTTTAAATCTCATACTTCTAAATTTGAGTTTATATCTCGCAATTCTACATTTACATCATGCAATTCTATTATTTTTTTCTTGTAATTCTGAGTTTGAGTTTAAATCTCACAATTCTACGTCATATCATGCATTTTGTAATCATTCTAGTGCAGGGTACAAATGAAACTGGCTCTATACGCAGTACTTTACTGTACAAGTTGTCAAACTGCAGTTTCTGAGTCGCTTCCTAAACTCAAAATTTAACTAGCACTGACATCTGAGTCAGACTGAACATACACAGCTTTCCTGAAATAACTTCACTTCAGATGCCCTCTGTGTCTCTCCCTGAGGAGCTGATCAGCAGCATGATTCGAGTTATTTCTGGTTGTTTCTGACTGCGCTTCACGCTGATGGCCGCTGACAGCGTGTGTGTGTGTGTGTGAGAAAGAGAGAGAGAGAGAGCGTGTGAGTGTGTGTGTGTGTGTGTGTGTGTGTGTGTGTTTGATATTCATATTGCTTTGGTTGCTGGTGAAGAGCTCAGAGCAGCAGGAGTTGGTCTCCCGCAGAGATCGTGGTGTGCGGCTTTGAAAGCCATGATACAAACACAGACGACACTCAAACACAACACTGAGCTCACTTTCATTTAAACGCATCAGATGTACAGAATTATTATAAAAGCCTAATTCCACCACAGAATAAAACAATTAAAAAAGGTAAATGCGACTTTTATCTCACAAGTTGGACTTCTGGTTTCTCTGTGAAAAAAAGTCAGAATTGCAAAATATAAACAGAATTGTGAAATATAACCTCAAAATTCTGCTGTTTTCTCACAATTATAAGTTTAAATCTTGCAATTCTAAGTTTATATCTCGCAAATTTTTTTCTTGTAATTTTGAGTGAGTTTATATCTCTCAATTCTGAGTTTGTTTAAATCTCGCAATTCTAAGTTTTTATCTCTCAATTCTGAGTTTGAGTTTATATCTCACAATTCTACATTTTTTCTTGTAATTCTGAGTCTGAGTTTATATCTCGCAATTCTATCTTTAGATTTCCCAAATTCTATTTTTTCCCCCTTGTACTTCTGAATTTGAGTTTATAACTGGCAATTCTAAATTCATATCTTGCAATTCTATGATTTGTTCATGTAATTCTGAGTTTTAGTTTATATCTCGCAATTCTACGTTTATATCTCGCAATTTAAAGTTTTTTCTTGTAATTTTGAGTCCGAGTTTAATTTTCACAATTCTGAATTTGTTTATATTTCGCAATTGTAACTATATATCGCAATTCAAAATGTTCTTGTAATTCTGAGTTTGAGTTTAAATCACGCAATTCTAAATTTGAGTTTATATCTAGCAATTCTACATTTACATCTCACAATTCTATTTTTTCTTGTAATTCTGAGTTTGAGTTTAAATCTCACAATTCTGCATTTATATCTTGCAATTCTACAATTTTTCTTGTAATTCTGAGTTTAAGTTTATATCTTGCAATTCTTCGTTTATATCTCGCAATTCTGTTTTTTCTTGTAATTCTGAGTTTGAGTTTAAATCTTGCAATTCTGAGTTAAAAGAGATAAGTCGTAATTACTTTTTTATTCTGTAGTGGACACAAGCTTCCATACATGATAACTTACAAGAAAGAAAAATCACACAGAAGATCTCTTTAACATCTCAATTGCTTCTCCTAATCAGTAATGAAATTAAATGGAGAGCAAACTGAGTCTTTTACTGAAGTCTGAGAAAAAGAGCCCAGTAATCTCATACAGAGATCTTGGTATGAACTCAAACAGTTCTCACTGATTTCTTTCAAGCTAATAATTGTAAAGCTATATGACAATAAGGCACTATTTCTCCCAAGGAATTTTAGGAGAAACATCTGAGACAAATACATGAAATGCACCATGAATTGTCTAACAGACAGCAGCCGTCGACTGGTTTGTGGCATCCAGTACCAGTGATGATGCCAGTTTCCCACTCCGTTACCATGGCGATGCCATCTTTAACACACTCAGAACTGAGTGCAAGGACAATAATAGATGCATTGATATGCAGACTGCTGCCTGTCAGGAGAGAGTCGACTACACGGACATGATCACTCAAAATAAAACCAAAAACGCAATATGGCTTAGTGCGATTATCAAATGGCAAAGGCTGCGATTTAGTTAAATAAATATATGCACTGTGTGTTTCAGAGAGAAACGCAGCACTATGTTCATTTACACGTGAGCGGTGTTTTCAGAGTCACTTTAACCTGCATTTAGGAGTGAAACATTATTTCATTATTTTTTTTCTTAAATATTTGCACAGTATGTTTTTCCACAGTAGTAATGTGATTATTATTACTAAAATTATTAATCATAATAAGAAATATTGCTACTGTAATGTGTTATTTTTTCTTAATAATAATTATAATAAAACAACTTAAAACTGTTATTATTACATTTTTCTTAAATATTAATTTTTACAGTAGAGATATGACTATTATCACTAAAGAAATGTATCATAATAAGAAATATTACTACTGTAATGTTTCTTGGTTTGTTTACTATTTTTATTAATAATAATCATAATAAAACAACTTAAAACTGCCTTAAATTTGTAAGTATAATCAAATTTATGAATAAAAACATAATAAAATCAAATAAATATTAATGGTCAGGTGTTTTACAGCTAGGGTTTCCTCTGGTTTTTCATCAAAATAAAATTTTGTTGGCTGAACGTTTGAAAATAAAGAATTTAAGACAGACAAATATTAGTACTGTAATTTCATAGTTGCACTGTAAAATAAAACTATTATTATTATTATAGCAAAATTTGTTTATTTGCATTATGTACATATATTAATTCATTTCTTTTACAACCGTTCTTGCAGTATATGCATTATTTATTTCTCTAAATATTTCTAAATAGAATAAAGAAAAAGGTTTTTTTTGTCTGTTATTTATACAAAAATGTTCACTTTCTATATATGTGTGTGTATGTATTCATTTATAAATTTTACAACCAATTTTACAAATGTGCATTTTTTTTTGCAATATATGGAAAATTGTTTATTTACAATATTTATAAATATATGGAAAATTGTTTATTTACAATATTTATAAATAGAAAGAGTCAAAGATCTATCTATCATCTATCTATCTGTCTGTCTGTCTGTCTGTCTGTCTATCTATTGTTCTATCCATCCATCCATCC